GCTCAGTTTTTTTTTTTCTTTAGTGTATTAAAAAGTGGAACTTTCCTGACTTTATGGAACAACATTTTCTAGCACCTTTCGCATCTCATGATTTCTGGTGGTTAGGACACTTGTCACCTTTCCTGACAAGCATGGGGCTGTGCTGCTGCTTGGCAGAGGCCTGGGACCACATTCTGCACATGTGCAGACATGCACTGGAGAAACCAGCCAGAGACACAGAACCTGTTAGTCTAAAAGTTTCACATACTGCAGTAAATCAAAAAGAACAGCAATATTCTAAAGGGATGATTTCGACAGATGGAAGATTGTTTGGTGCCTCTCTATTGTATCTGTATCATTGTGTGTGTAGGCATGCAGGAGCACATATTTTATATAAATGCATCCATATGGGTGTTTATAAAGTATGGATACATGTGAAAAGATAATTTGAAACACAGAGTTATGGAGAGCTGGGCAGGATGGGGGTTGTTATTCCTGCCCATTAATTCACTCTGCACATAGCAGCAACCAAGAGCCTGGAGCTCCATCTGGATTTTTTCCTGTGGGTGACTGCAGCACAAGTACATGGCTCACCTTCCACTGTGTTCCCAGGTACATCACTGGGGAACTGGATTGCAGTCGGAGGAGTTGGAACTCAAGCTGGTGCCCACACGGGATGCCACATCACAGGGGCTCACCTTCCTGGGCCACAATTCTAGCTCCTGTTTTTATTCACAGTTACCTAGAATTCCTGTTCCAAGGTCCCTTACTTGACACACAGTGTTTCTTCACAACCCAGTGAGGGCTAAGCTTCGGCCAAGTTGTTTTGATTTTCTTGTCTACAGAAGTGACATAGCAAGTCCATGACCAGTGACTCAGAGAAAGTATTTATTTGCACTGTGTTTGATGAAGGTTTACCAAGAGTAACTTCCCAGGAATGCTTCCTTTGGAAAAGAAATTGACTTCTAGATACTCTGTACTTCAACGAGTTGTGCTGACCCAAGGAAAACAGAAAAACACCTTTTCAATCAATCACCCACTTGTGATTGCCCATTCTTTGGGAAATGAGAATCTGAGATGTGATGTCTGTGTCACCCTTATCTCAGAATCCATAAATAATTCATGCAAGATGTCAGCTTATTTATAGCATAGGTAGGTGGCCAGGAAAGAGTTCTGGGTGTTTACTGGGCCCTGGAAACTGCATCCTGTTGGAATGGTTCCTTTTCTTGGCAGGAATCATTTGTGCTAAGGGTTCTACCCACACCCTTTTTAAAAACATGCCAGGGATTTAGATAGAATTAATGTGACACCAACATGTGTGTCCTTCAGAGGCATGTGTGAGCAGGGACCGAGTTTTCCCCAGTGGGGATGTGCACGTGGTGGAAACTCAGGACATACATGTGTGCAACTGGGTGCCTAAACTTCTTTCAGGGTACAAAGATAGTATTTCAGCACCACCCCCCATGTTAAGTTGAATTCAGACCAAATTTTGTCTTACAGGTAGAAGTAACCTTAGCTGCAATTTCATGTACTGCCAGGAAAATGTACTGATTTTTAACAAAGAACTCATAAGCAAGCTTTATGATACTGTAAAGCTGGAGAACTTCTGTCCATTAACATGAGCTTTATGTTACGCATTATTAAGGTAAAGAGGAAAATGTTAATTGCAAGAATTAAAATGTATCTTACGCTAACATCCAATGCATACAGCATAATGATGTGTAAATTCTATCTCATACTTAAAAGTCAGTCGTTCTCACCATAGATGAAAAAGAAACCGAATGGTTTTTTTTTTTTAACTCTCTACTCTGTTCCATGGATTTACTTCCCATTTTGTAAAGAAACATTTATTTTTTTGGAAGGCAGAACTGTAGAAAAGGCAGGAGAGAGAGAGAAATAGAGAGAATCTGCTATGTGCTGATTTACTCACCCTAAATGGCCACAGCAGGCAGGGCTGGACCAAACTCCAGCCAGGTGGGAAGAGGCCAGATTCTTGCGCCATACTCCCTGCTATCCCTGAGCACAACCATGTTGATCCAGATTTGAACCACGCCTCGTATGAGATGCTGACGTCACAGGTAGCAGTAAATCAACGAGACACACACTATGTAGTATGTCACTATGTAGGCACACTTTTACAGTTGTTCTCTAAATGTGGTTGTTTTTATTTTGGTCTTACCATGATTTGGAGTTAAGTAAATATGTTTACTAACATTGCAAACACACCTGCAACTCATACTCGTGATAAGTTTTAAGAAGCATTGTTTTAATTGTGCATCGAGAATGTGTTTCAACATTGTTTACATAGTAGAGAAGGATATACGCCCATGGGGTCTCCAATTAGGGTACAGAGGGTGGAGGCATGGAGGAAGGTGGGTGGGACAAATGTTTCAATTATGTCTTTTCCTCCTGTGTCTGTAGGGAGGGAAGGGAAAGGGGCCACTCCTTGCTCTCAAACTGTGTCAGCAGCCGGGCATGCGGGGACAGTCGTTGATGGTGCCTTAGAGACTCCAACATGGGGAAGAGTGTTCTGAAGGTGTTACTTGTGTTGTTCTGATGATTCTGAGATGCAATCAGCTTTGTTGCAACAGGGTTGAGAAAATCTTTTCAAGACTCTATTGGCTGATCAAATCCACCTCAATGTCCATCCACTGGCCCAGGGACATGTTGCCTAGGAGAGTGCTCCAACCTATTCTGCTTTCCATTCTCCGATGAGGCACTTGACGTCCCCTACTGACCTAGATGAGCCAGTCATCAAGTCCCTTGTATGCATCTGGGCACGCTGACCACGGCACAGGTGTCAGCAATTCAGGAGGCCTAGTCCTGACACACACACTCCAAGATCAAACCACCTTTCAGCCTCTGGTTAGGGATTCCCCCAAGAAACCTTGTCTGGAGTGACCTCAGGCTCGACTCTTTTGTGTACCATCTAGTTTAGGGTCAGGTTTGGTCCATCACCTGCCAATGCACATACCAGTGAACGCAGCTGCCTGGGCAGTTCTGCCCCCAACCCTATCTCTCATGTGAACTGATGGGTGTTGTGGCCTAGCTCTGCCCAGCCTGCCACAGGCATGGTCTTCACACACAGTAGGTTTGGTGGCCTGGTTACAGTCCCTAAATAATCCCCCGCAAGTCTGCCCCCAGTCCTGGTTTTTGCATGTGCTGAATCGGCCGGACCCCAGTCTGGTACTCATTAGTGGGCACTGTAGCCTAGCCCAATTAGTCCACACTCATTCCGGCTCTGTGCTGGCACACTGCTATGGTTAACAGGAATGCTCACCAGCTAGCGGCTACTTTTCTCCCAGTGATGTAATACCTGCCTAGGTACAAGGCAAGCAAAGTAGTAGCATATTGAGTATGTTAGTGCAAAGAGAGCTGATATTTACTACAGCTATAAAATGCATTCTTTACAATTTATATTTCAGTGAACATAAAGAAAACAAATGGAACATTATTCTAGGAGGACTGCATGGTCGGTATAAGGGGGAAAAGTGAGTTTTGCAGTCCCCTCTCCAAGAGAATGAATCATAAAAGAAATATGGAAGTTGATAATAGCAGTTACCGCAACCATAAAAACATGATAAAAGTTTCTTTGGCAGCATGCAACCCTGCAAGTCCTGCCAAGTACAAAATCTAGTTTGTAGGCGCTGGCAGTGGCCTGTTGTCTTCAGTCTGTCTTCAAGGCTTTCTAACAACTTCTGGCTCATCCCTTGAAGTTGAAGGGGATATATCAAAATGCCTTTGTTTCAAGAATAATCAAAATCATTTGAACTTTAAATGCATTTAAAAGAAAAAGAAAACCCCATTGGTAACATTCGCAGGGCAGTGATTTCTCTATTCACTCAAAAAAGTGGAACTTAATGTGAAATATTTTAAAGTTATCAGCCTAGGCAAACTTACTTATGCTGCTGATTTTGATGAGATTTAGAAAATTTTGATGAAAGTTTTGGATCCTTACGATTACTTCAGCCCTTGCTCAAATTTAGGAGCTGTTAAAATAACACTTAAGGTCCTAATCCTGATTATTCAGCTAGCGTCTCAGCTCTATTACTGTATTAGATATCCTTACTCCCATGCCAAAGCATTGCAGCTTTGTGATAATTCTTCTTGGGTTAAATCCATGGAATCCTTCCATAAAGTGAAGCTGCAAAAATACATCTCAGATGCAGAATAGCATTTTTTCCTCTGTAAACATCGCTAGAACTATTTTTATTTAAAAAACCAGTAGTTCCTTCCAACATTTTTAATATGGGGATCACTGGTCTGTAGGGAAGCCTGCTAGACACGTAGGGAACTAACACAGGAAGGTGAATGGCCCACGTGTGATACCAACCCGAGGCTATGCAGAGAGCTCTGATACGCCTAGAAAGAATCTTGTCTGCTTGGGTTGCCAGCAAAAGGTACACTGCCCCTTTAATCACGCAAAAACACACATTCCACACACAGAGTCAACAGGGATGCTTGAAAAGGCTTAGGCAGTTATTCTTGACTTTCAATGTCATAAATATTTTCTTTAGTTTAGCTTAGTTTGGATTGGATACTGATCAATTCTGACCAAAAATACACACTTCCTGTAACTTTCACACTTAAAAATATGTGAAAATACCTACTCCTACTTTCCCCTGCTGAAATTAGGTACTTACTAAACACACAAACACACTCTTGGATGTGTCTATCCATCTTTCTAGATTACACATGCATCTATTCCCTCAAAATGGAATAAAATGTAATTTCTTCAATTAAAGAGTAATTAAAATGATTCCTAATGTCTCAGTGCATTTTCCTAAAAAATAAAAGTGTCACTACACTCTTGCGCTCTTGCAAAGCGTTGGCCCTTGGATATCAGGGAGTCAGCTTCATCACAAACTCAGAGGAGGTTGGGTACAGAGGAACTTCATGGTCTTTCCTGTGTAATCCTACTCTAAAACTTAAATGGATGCAATAATTTCCCTGCCGAGTGCTTATTGACTGTAGGACAAGAAAGTAAAAAGCAAAAGATACTCAGTATACACAGACCAACACCACTAAGACATTTATTCAATGCTATTACAATTGTTTCTAAACTCCATGGCTATTTCAATAGTAAAGAGGTAACTGCCGGAGGAAGCTCAGTCCGAGCTCATCGTCAAGAAACACACAGAGTGGGTAATACTGTTGTGGGGCACTCAACACCTTCAAACAGGCTGCAGGCTGCAGTGACTTGTTCTGTCAATTGAAATCACTGCTGATAACCTAAAAACGATGTTTGCAGGTAGCTGCGGATAGGAAAAGTCCTTCATTTGAAAGTTAATTCTGTACCATTCCAAAAAAAGTCTGTAAACTTGTCATCTGCATATAGATATATTGTTTAGAAGAGTGATATTTTCATTTAAATATAATTTAAGACACTTAAAATATAAATTCTCATTGATCTTCATATAAAATATGTATAAAAATAGAACATTTAAAAGCAGTGGATATTAACACGAGGGCACTGATCAGTCAACACAGGCTTTTTGGCATAGTAATGAACCAGAGGTATTTGTATGTTTAGTAATTCCAGCCATGGATTGAGTTAGAAATCTCAGTATCTTTTTCCAAAAGGAAAAATAATCCTTTACAAGCCACCATGACCCTGTATTGCTATCTCACCACAAGATGTTTGTATACAAAGAAATTTACTACTTGAAGCTGTGAAGATAGAAGAGAAAGAACCTAAGATTGCATCTTGTTTTATATGTATGCCACCATTTCCATAAAAAATAATTTTATGCCTATTGTAAATTTGGATTAGATACAATTGCTTAGGGCCATTAAAATATAGCAGCACAGCGCTATTGTGGAAATACACAAATGCTTTAGGAGCGCATTTATTAATGCACAATGTAGAAAATACATAAAATAGTGTAATCTTAAATTACTTGGGTGGCAATAGCAAATGAAATTTTTCTTAAGTTCTATTTTCAGTGAAAGCTAATAAAATAATAAATGAGGAACTCTATCTTGTTCCTGTTTCTCAAAATATATAATCAATTCAGACTGCAGTAATCCATCAAAGTCCACAGACAAGACAGAAGGGAATGTTACGAAAGACACAGCAGGGTGAACTGAAACCGTGGTTATCTGAACTATAAAATATTTCACTTCCCATCCCCTTCAGACACTCACTTCCAGTTTCCTTGCAGGGAACTGCTGTTCGATTCCTTTCAGTCATACTGTTTTCAAAGTGTAAGAGGAAGTGGTTCTCATCAGCGTGAGACTCACACAGCCTGTGTCGTCAACGAGAACGCAAGTGCAACTGTCCTGCTCAGGTGGAATGTTTAAGTGCGTGCTTCTCGATCCTGACCTTTCCAGAAGATAACACGGCACGGAGCGCATTGCCCTCTCCGCTACAGAATTCAGAAGTCCACATTTCTCTCTATGATCACAATGTAATACATGGGCTATCGTGATTATGGTACACTTTTACATTTCAAGCAATCTTCTAGGTCTGTCTTTCACCCTAAAGCCAACTGATATTCAGGTTCAGATCTTGACTAGAATATGATGGTGGAAAATAGGACTTCTTTTTAGCTGGGTGTGCATGTACGTGCTGGTGTGAGCAGGTGTATTGGCCAGTCCAACTTCCATGTGAAGCCTAGTGTGGGTTTGTAGGCCAACATCCAGGTGCCTGGCTTATTTCCAACTCCAGCTCAGCTCTGCAGGAGGACACCTACGTTCTCCTTGTACTTCCACACATTCTGCTGAGAAGAATTTCAGAACAAACCTGGTTTATGGGGCCTCGGACATGATATGGTGATTGAAAATTGGTTATGGAGTCTTGTTGCAGTTTTCTTTGATTGCTAAAATATTTTCCCACAATGTGATTTCTCGATCTCTTCGTTTGAAGAAAGTTATATTCTTTGGATAATTTTGATTTCACTACCTATAAATAAAGAGTGAAAAAAAAAAAACCAGTGAGACAAAAATCAAGGACATTTGCACCCCGCACAGAGCAATCTAACTTTCAAACTCAAACAATTTCTCTGCCACACAGATGTTGCCCATAGGGCATGACTATGATTTATATAACCAAGAGCTAGGATAACTGATGTTTCAAAAAACACCAAGTTTGGAATTCAAATTCCTCTCTCTTTTCTTACCCTCAGGCAGCTGTCCCCAAGGTAAGAAACGGTCTCAGATGATGTTTCTATTGCAGTGTTTCCGTGTATACTTGGGTCAGACCCACTAACATGTAACTTGACACAGAAGCACTATAGAGAACGTATTATGCATTGGCTAGGTCATCGATACAAAGCTGAGACTATGAATGTATCATGGTACCATTGTACAGAACAGCAGCTGAAAAGTACTTTCAGAGGAAAGAAAATGTTTCTCCACCGCATGCAAATAAGCAGATATTGTTACAGATAGTGACTGCTGTTCTTTGGGTGCTTAGGAAAAATTACAGAATCCTAAAAGGTTCATATGCCTTATTCAGCTAATTGTGTATTTGGAGAGAGATACATTGACCTAATTATAAATTAAAATTTTTGAATAAATGGTATTACAAAACATTCAAAAGCAAAAAAAAAAAAAAGGAGGGTATTTAATAACAAATTTCCTTCCTATATCTACATCCCACACCCAGGGGTACTTTAGTTTCCTAATTCTTCATGCATCCATTCATTATTATTTTATAAACACAAATGCAAACATGCAAGCCAAGAAAAAAAGGGTTATAGTTAGAGTCTATTTGTATATTTTTACAAAATGTCCCGGTGGTATGATGTAATCATTGAGCTAATGGAACTTTGGTTGTTAGAAGGAGAGTGAGAAAAGGACCAAGATACCTTGGTGAGGGTTAAGGGAAAGTGAGATGGCAAGTAGGTAAAGAGATGAAGGAAGAGGGGAAAGATACTGACCATCTTCTCATTCTGTATTTTTTAGTGGTGATCAATGAACGTGATACTAGCAAGTTTTAAACATTTCTGACTGCTATTTAATGACTTAGGTACATGTTTTTGATCCAGACGACAATGAAAACAGCTTAAAAATAGACTATTTGAAGACAATCACATGATACCTCTATTTTTAGTTATTTTATAAAAGAGCATGAACCACTTGCAAGTGCATTAGAATGCTAACAATGGTACCCTCTTGGTGGAAGTGTTACAGGGGCTTTAGACATACTCCTGTAATCCTTTTTTTTTAAATTTGTATTGGAAAGCCAGATATACAGAGAGGAGGAGAGACAGAGAGGAAGATCTTCCATCCAATGATTCACTCCCCAATTGGCTGCAATGGCCAGAACTGAGCCAATCTGAAGCCAGGAACCAGGAGCTTCTTCTGGGTCTCCCATGCAGGTGCAGGGTCCCAAGGCTTTGGGCCGTCCTCAACTGCTTTTTCAGGCCACAAGCAGGGAGCTGGATGGGAAGTGGGGCTGCCGGGATTAGAACTGGCGTCCATATGGGATCCTGGCATGTTCAAGGTGAGGACTTTAGCTGTTAGCCACACCGCCGGGCCCTACGCATACTTGTAATTATTCTAGGTCTTGACTTTTTCTTATAACACTATAGATGTGCATTCTTTTATAATCACACACATTTTGAAGCCTTTGGCATTCTTAAGCAAAAGATGAAATACCAACGCATTTTAAGACCAATAGCAACATGTTAGCCCCATAGAAATTAATTGTTTTCCTATAAAAAGGAGGCTTCACACCCCTGCTCAGGCCCTTGCATCAAGTGGCTTAAGAAGTCCAGTGAAGCCAGCACATTGTGGTAAGGACTCCTGTGGATTGTGATGTAGAGTTCAGTCTGCAGTTAACTGCTAATTAATATTCCAGGTTGCAGCAAGCGTCTATGATGGGCTGTGCTTTCCACGCCCATCTGGCTAGATTGTGGCTCTAATTGTGCTACACTGCAAAGGTGCACCCATGTTTTCATGAAAGTTCTGATTCTGGAGGTTTATATTCACAGCAAGATTAGCGTACATTCTTCAGGAAGTTTATTTGGGGAAACACTTAAGTGTAAATATAACATTTAACCTTGAAATAATATTATTCCAGTGCTCTGAAGCCAAAATAGGGCTAGTTCTGTTTATATAATTTTATCTTAAATTGTGGCTTTCACAATTGCCTGATGATCTGCATGCTAATTATATGTAAAATAGAAAAAGGGTCACCCAATGGAAAAGGTTATATTCCTTCAAATGTTATTTTAGCATTTTGTATGGTTTCAGGACTGAATTTGGTAGCGCATGGAGATGCTCACAGCAATCTTAAAGGTAATTCATAAATAAGGACACATCTTTCCCAGCATATTTGCTCGGGTACAAATGCCCTCGTGAGTAGTGTCTCAATGGGAAGACTGGTTTCAGTTTGGAGCGTTCTCTGTGATGCTCTGTGAGAATGGCAGCCAGCGTTCTCATCCAGCATCCGAGGGCCAGAGCAGGCTGCCTGCAGCGCACATGCCCGCTTCACACTGTTCAGAACACGCCTATGTGCACAACAGCTGTCGGCCCCATAACATTTGATCTACTTAGTTTCCTCTACAAGCTGCTTTTCCAGAAATAAACAATAATTTTTTTAAACATTTGGATACTGAATGCTAGAAACTGACAGTACTGTAGAGATCATTATTTCAATTTTGATTTGTTAAAGTACAGATAAAAAGTAAAACCTTCCAAAATGCTACTGTGAATTGAATCCAGGGGGAATTTTAAAACTCCGGAGCATAATGCCCCTGTACCACAGCACTCATGTAGAGAGCTATTCCTATTGGAATCCACACGAAAAGACTTCTGAGAAAGAAGACAAAGACATTTTGAAGCACATTTAAAAAATAAATATAGGAAAATAGTTAAGATCATATAGGAAAGAAAAGAAAAAGTCACATTGCGGGGGGGTGGGAGGAGGGAGGGTTAAAAAAACACATGCTTATTTATCAGTATGAATTAAATCTGCCATCAACCTGCTAGAGGCGTGTGAGCTGTCACATACTCTGGACTTCATCCCTTGCTCCTACCCTCCCTGGCTCTCACACCTCTCAACGGTCCCGTTGGGAATCTTTTTTTCCATGGTAAACAAAGTCGGTTAGTCACCATCACCACTGAATTTTTCTTCAGCCTCCTTGCCAAAATGGAAACTTTGCTTTGCCAGGAAGTCTCTGCCTCTTTCCCCCACCAGGGTGTGTATGGGTGTGTGCATACATACACACACACACAGGTGGCACAGAGGCTGAGGGAATAAATAGGCACTTGACTGTACGGATATTCTTTCTACTGATGTCCATGATTTCTATTTTGTAGCTGTGGTTAGTTCATCTGAACACCTGGTACCATTTCAGACACACCCTTCTCCCATGTTGAACCTTCTTTCTGGCTCTGAACTCAGGGCCTTCAGTGAGTTTCCATCAACACTTTCTCGGGGATACCATCCAACAAATCCATTTTTTTTTTACATAAAGTTGGAGGAATCACAATTTCAGATCTCAAGACATACTACATGGCAGTGGTCATCAAAACAGTCAGGTACTGGCACAGAAACAAACCCCCAGAAGTGAGTCTGTATGTGCATAGCAAGCTAATCTTTGACAAGAGAACTGAAAATAATTTAGGAAAAAAGGCTCATCTCTTCAACAAATGCTGTTGGGACAACTTGATGGCAGCCTGCAGAAGTAAGAAGCAACATCCCACTTGTCACGTTACACAAAAATCAGCTCTCACTGGATCAAAGACCTAAATCTGCACCCAGAAACCACCAAAGGATTACAGGAAAACATCCCTATACCTGCAAGACATAGGGATTAGTAAAGACTTCTTAGAAAAGTCACCAAAAGCACAGGCAGTCAAAGACACAAATGTGACTACCTCAAACTAAGATGCTTCTACAGCTCCTATATACCAAAGGAGATGACTAACAAGTGAAGAAGCAACCAATAGCATGTGAGAAAACCTTTGTACACTACACAACCAATAGGGACTAATAGCCAGGATTTACAAAGAGCTTCAGAAACTCAATGACAGTGAAACAAACAACCCTCTGAAAAAAAAAATGGGTAAAGCAACTGCACAGAAAGTTTTCAAAAGAACAAACTCATGTGGCTAAGAGACATGAAAAAATGCTTAGGTTCCTTAGGTATCAGGGAAATACAAATAAAAAGCACATGAGGTTCCACCTATCTCCAGTGAGTTTGGCCTACATTCAGAATCTACTAACAACACTTACTGATGTGGACTTGGTGGTGGGAGTGTAAGCTAGTACAGCCACTGTGGAAGTCAGTATGGAGAATGCTAAGAGAACCGAAAACAGATCTTCCATGTGTTCCAGCCATCCCACTTCTGGGGACATATCTACCCACCAATTTCTTCAGCACAGTTCCAACCTGTTACCATCTTATACAAATTGGACTTGATTTCCCCAAGTCAAATTTGATCAGCCTCTCATCTGAGAACTATGCACAGCCTCCTGGGGCAGGATAAAGAATGCAGATGGAATCACAGATTCTCCTAGTAGGAAATTAGCAAACACATTTTAACCTCATGTTACTGAGTTCTTGACTAGATTAAGACTTCAAATCTTTTCATTAAAAGCTACTTAAATACGATGCTTTCTAGTTCTCATGATAAATATGAGTTGAATGCTCAGTAATAAGCAGAATCAGTATGATGGTAAAAAAAATAGAAAAGTTCATACTGGAAATTAAAAAGTATTTCATACATCATTACTGTTCCCACTGCTATTTAAGGAGGAAAAAAAGTAGTTTTAAATAGAGCCTAGTGCTAGAGCCTGGGACTATAAATGTTGATCATCTAATACTTCAAATTTCATAGGATTAAATCAAGCATGTAGATTAAAAATGGAAGTATGCACAAAACTGCCGATAGGCTCCCCAGAGAAGGGAGAAGGCTTTGCTTTCATGATAAACATTTATTTTTTAAATG